ATTCTCACACACACAGCAATCACAACTAGCTGTTAAAATACTGCGGGAAATCTTTAAATATTTGATGCACTATGCGTCTGTCTTGCTCACTTTCTTTTGATTCTTCACTCGCAATCCCTTTGAAACACTGCTGAAGCTCATAACACCTGTGCTTGTGTTCGTCGTAATCAGTGGTTCGTACAATAGAGTGAATTAACGACAAACACTCTGTGCGTACCTGAGAAATAAAATGAAAGACTTTGTTTATATATATTCATCTATATTTTAAAATGCATGGGACTGAAGTTTTAATTTCGAATTATATTGATAAATAATGTTCAAAATTAATCTTTCTAAAAATAATTATTTTTTATAGAATACATGTAGAAGAATTAAAAGTGAAATTTTATGCAAATTATCAATTAATATGCATGTATTTGCAATAAAAACTGATCAAATTGTGCACTGTTGTTTCAGCAGGACCACATACAGTACATTACTGGTAGTGATTAATTATGCAAAACATAGTTCTGAATATCACCTTACAGTATCTCTATACACCAAGTTTCATTGAAATTCAATCAGTATCTTTATTAGATACCGATGTCAAAGGCAAACTTGATGAAGGTACATGCAGATGTCAACCAATCAGAGCATCCCTTACTAGATAGTGGCCTGTAAACATGAGATCTGATTGTAAGTGACAATTTCTGATTGGATACTGATCCTGCAATAAGTAGTCAGACAAATGTACTGTGACTGGATCCTACACCTATATTGTATTTAAATTAGATTGTGCACAAGACAACTCTGGAGGGCATGGAAACCACATGTACCCTGTACTTTGCCATCATATCCCAGGTTATGTACAATGTAGTGTTGCCGGACCGACCTACCTCATCACCAGCTGGAAGATCTGATAAGTGCCGTACTACGATATCAATAAGTACATACAGGTCATTGCTGTAAAACATATCAGCTGTTTCTGTACTTGAAAAGATGTCGCCCAGAAATTTGAGGAGAGCGTCAGGTGGTTTGGGTTGATGTTCAAATATGC